GTCGCGAGTGTGAGATCTCTCCACTAGTCGGTCGGAGTCTCCAACTCCAAAGCTTCTAGTGATAGAGAAAGAAGGCGTCCCATCTTGGCGACGACTGTTAGAGCGACTGAGTGGAGTGCGCTCACTGTGGTTACCCACTCCAACAACACCCTTCCCCTTGATCTGGAGTTTTAGCATCTCCATTTCAGCCGCCATCTTCTGAATGAGGGCGTCGTGGTCTTCGAGTTTGTGCTCCAAACACTAAGCATGTGACTCCCCTCGTCGTCAGCGACCCTCTAGACTCTTGAAGTGTTTAGTGCTCCTTGCGCGTTTGTCTGGCGCACTTCTGGAAAAGGTTTCCAGGTTCACCATAGTCGGAATAGTGGAAGGGCTATCTCTCCATTGGACAGACTCTGGTGTGATACCGTCGACAACGGACAGCGGTGTTTCGTCGTTGTTTGCCATGGAAACGGTTGAAAAAGCTTGGCCAACAAGGTTTGTCTGTCAAAGAGTCCCCGTAGATGGTACCAATTGTACGGGGGTGAAATATTCTCGGTTCTCCGTACTCTTTGAATCCAAGCTTCACAAGATGTCGCCTGACGTGAAAACCAAAAGATGGTGAGCTGCCCGGCGATGTGCTGCCGGATAAACCCTCCGACGTTCAAGTCAGCACACTTGGAGAAGAAGAAGAAGAATAGAGAGAGCACTTCAGAGTGAGAGAGTTTGGAATTCCTTCTGATTGCTTTCCTCTAACGTCTCTCTTTTCTTCTTTTTGTAGGCTGGCCATACAGCCTCAGAGATTGTGGGCGCACTACCTCTGCTATCCTTCTCTAAGCAGGCGGCTGTGCTTCCCTCTACCTATCTTACACATGTAGAGACCAAAACCTCCAAACAGTGTTTGTCGAACTGCCAAACGTTATTGATGCATACTAGGAGTGGATTTTCTCTACTTTACCATTGGTCCAGGTGGCTTACACTACCAGGCTATCACTTGGAAGAAACAGACACCACAACAAACTGGAACGACCGAGCTACAATAAACCCGTCCATCGGGATCAACTGGTCGTAGGACGCACGGTTCGGCATCTTGGTCTCGCCCCGCTACCTCGTAGGACTCCTTGGCCCTACATCAGGACTGTTCATAGTTTAGCCCAACGCATCTATACAGATTTAAGAAAATATCCATTTTAGTCGAATCATAGCTCGGTCGGCTTGCCCGGCCCAACTTAATGGGCCGGGGCAGCCGCGTTGGTTCAGTTCGGCCAAGTTCATGGTCCTTGGCCCTAGCAAGGCCCAGCGCCATATCCCACGCTGACGTAGCTCGGCCCAATTGTTAAGTGTACTAGTAAGATTATTAATAATTGTATCAATATGCCCAATGTTGTTGTAAAAAAAATTTCTATTGGTCAATTCAATTAGCCAAAACAATAATTTTAATTATTTCATAAATCACGCCGGAACTCTCAGTAAGGATGATCACACATAAAACAATAAACAATAAATAATAAAAATGCTTCAACTGTCCATAGGACCAATGAATTTGAAATCGTTAATCATGCAAATAGTGAGATAAAATACAATATAAATTACCAAATGTCAAGTTAGATCTTTGACCTTTTCAAATAAACAACCAAGCAATTATATATAAGGAATACCCAATTTCTTACAGACAATTTCACAAGTAAAATACAAGTACATTGTAATCCAAATCCCTTGTTTGTTGGCTAATTAAAAAAAAAAAAAACAAACAAAAAGGGCATATCAGTCCAAAAATTCTAAAAAAAAAAACTAAAAGGATCTCCTAGAATAACTCACAAAGTCAATGGGACTTACATGTCCATAAGAAAATTCATAAAACTTTTTAGTATACAAGTTTTGAAATGAGATTTCCAAGTAAATTTTATCAAAAAAATTTCTATTGATTAACTCTAATTTAATCATAACAATAAATTATAATTATTCCATAAATTATGACTTCTAAAAGAAAAGTATGCTCAACTATTTCAAAAGTATGCCACCAAATAGAAGCAATTTACTAAAATTTCATTATAATCATAAAAAAATCTAATTATTTCATAATTTATAATTTTTAATATATATATATATATATTAGTATAATACCCGAGCTATATGCACGGACATAAATAAATATGTAGATGTAGATGTAGATGTAGATGTAGAAATATGAAAAAAACATTCACCGATATAATTAAATATGACTAAATTTCTTTCTTACCTTTCTATATAAAACATTTTAAATTCCAAAATCATAAATATGGTTAGATGGACCAATTCTATGCCATGTGTATTTCTTAACATATAATTTTTTCTATAAAAAAAAAAATTGTGAAGATCAATGCTGTAAAGCTAATAGTGCATTTCGGATGAAACATTCTTTCGCTATAACATATATGTAGATGTAGAAATATGAAAATTTTATTTTTATTATGCAAAGTTACAATAAAATTGTTTACACTTGTCAATTAGCTAAATTTTCCCTTCCTATGCCTTTACCGTTCTCTTTATTCATCTTCTAAGAAGGGCAATTATGTTATTTATGCAAAAATTACATAGTCAGTTAAAAACATAGTATGTGATGGGAAAAAAGGAATGCGAATAGAGCTACCACAAAAATTAAAGTTACCTTAGCAAGTTAACAGCAAAAGCTGACCATCATGGTTATTCTATAATGGCAAAAAAAATAAAAAAAAAATGGTTGTAAACAAAGTTAAACTATACAGTTCAGTTTTATTTTTTCAAAAGATGATTTGATCTTGGTTCTAAATAAAAATAGAAATCAATTGAATTAAAGTAGTTGCAATGTTTTGTACTAATTAATTGATTTCTTGTTGATTGATAATTCGGATTTTTTTTTTTTTGGGAATAAATAACTTTAAACAGTCTAGCTTTGGTTTTAAATTATTATTTTTTTTTATATTTTTATTTTTTTTAAATCATAACCTTTCAAATTGACTCTAAAACCAAACTAAACATCCCAATATATATATAGTTAGAAAAATTGAATGATCCAAATATATACATTTCAAACCTATTCAAACTATCGAGCAAAAACACAAAATATCTCGAATTTCTTCAAAAATATGTTAGCACGACAAATAGGGGTGTTTTCTAACTATTATTTTAATTTTAGTATCAAACAATAAATAGTTGATTCTTCTTAAATGGAACACAAGACTTTGGATTAGTTTAAAATAAAACAATTATTAGATAAAAAAACAACTAAAGAAATTCAATTATAAAATAAATAACATTATGAGAATTGAGGTGGAATGGTTGACTAACCAGTGACTTTGAAATAGCTTTATTATCGAGAGATTATCTGAACTTGTAAGAAGTTCTTCTTGTTGTCTATGCTGTGTATGAGCCTTAACAATACATATGACTTTTTAATATTTTAGGGTTTTAGGGTGGGGATGAGTTAGGAGCAATTAATCATACTTTCAATATATATATTTTTCAATGGAAGTTTTCCTATTATGGGATTGTCATTATTTTAGATGTCATGGAATATAATTAGGCCCATAAATTTGAATTTGGAAACGGATTGGTGTTGTTTCCTTTGGAAAATCACAAAATATGGAATAATTATATTTTTTATGCTTACATGATAGTCAGCCAATACGTTTTTTTTAACTATTTAAAATCAAATAAATCAAGAAAATTTGTATGATGTTCTCTCATATGACTCCTCATTGCAATGTCAATTTACTATAATATATAGTATAGATTTTTCCAATTAAAATTTAAAATTATGTGTTATATATATACTAACATTCAACCCATATTATGCAGAGTTTGGGATTGCTGCTGCGTAGGGTGTGCAACAGCAACTGTTGCGCGCCTTATTGGGCCCATTTCAGGGCCTAATTCGATAATCTGAACCGTTCACATTTTAGAAGGTATTGAGTAAAACATACCTGTAAGGTGCACAACAGTTGCTGCTACGCACTCTACATAGCAGCAACCCCAGACTGTACTATGCATGACTAAATGTATATGATAATGATGTATATTAATATTTGATGAATTTTTAGATTATAAAATAATTTTTTCTTGAATATTGATATATATGATAAGGATATTTATTAACATTGAATGAATTTTTAGATCATAAAATTTAGAGCGAGCATCTATTTTATCCTACGACCTAATTGAGGTTCAATTTGGGTGAGCCCAATTTGAGTAATTTAAGCTCGTAAAATTTTCGTAGCCTTAAGTAATTTAAGTAAGTAAAATTTTATGGCCTTAGTACTATTTTCAATTTGGTCAAGAGTAATGGTTGTCTTTAGAATTGACTTCTATTTTTTTTGCAAAAAAAACATTCAAAAAAACAGAGAGAAAATTTGATTTTTTTGTAGTGCTTTTTAGTTTTGGGGTGTTAAGCTTTTTATCATCCTGACATTGAGCTATTTTTTCGCAAGACCTCTCCTATAGTATCGTCACCGTAGTAGAGTTTAACTACCAAGTTCGGATGGAATAAAAAGTCAACTTCCCAAAGTAGGTCTAAGATAAAAATTTATCAACTCAAATTAAATTCAATCAGAATTTGAGTAGGAATTGTCACAATTTAAACATTTTGATTTTAAACTTAAATATGGGTTTTATACGAGTCCTTATATTAAGTAAAAGAGGTTTTCAACCAAAAGAGTTGTGATAATTCTAAATCCTCAAACTAGATTTTATAATTTTTAAATATTAAAAAAAATTCTATTGGTTAACTCAATTAACCATACAAAAATGAGTGAGACCACTAAAAGAGGAGCACTAATAGCTCTAAAGTGGTGTGGGTCCCACATGATGGGATGTTTTGCTCTCGTGTTTTTTTTTTTTTTTTTTTAATTTCCACCTCATTAGTGGTCCATTAGTGCTCCCAAATTAGTGGGATGAATCATTGTTGTCAACCATAACAATAAAACTCTAATTATTCCATAAATTACGATTTCTAAAAGGAAAGTATGCTCAACTATTTTAAAATTTAAATTTGTATGCCACTATATATGGAAGCAATTCACTAAAATCTTATGAAGACTTAACATAGCAGTCCAAGGCTGCAGCTACTGCAATAGTTACTGCAACAGACCAAATAGACTACAACAGATCAAACAGCGCAAAAGTAGTCCACGGAAGCTAATCAAATGCAGTCTTACATGAAGGTGTATCACAAGCCATGGTGTTAGGACCCAAACCCGCCTCTATAGGTTTAGCGTCGTAACCGGCCAGTAATCCTAAATTACCTATGGCCTCAAAGATAAAATTTCAAAATATTTAAATTATATAGAGGCCTAAGGCGGAAGCAAAACAAAAAAAAAATTACAATGTCCATCGAGCTTGTGCATACATGACGACTAAAATAATTAAAACATTAAAACACAATAATAATTTATACACATATCTTATATATCTCACATGCATATACATTAAGACTCAGCAAAATACAAAACTTAGGCAAAGTTAAGGGGCTGATTTTCTTGGCTTTACTCGAGCCTAACTTGCTCCATTCCGGAAGCTCATCAAAAGGCTGACACGGGTAGACTCCGAGGCTTTCTCTATCCTTGTTGCTTAGTTTACTCACCTACATATACATATAAATAGTGAGCTAAAGTCCAGCAAGTAACAACAGAATAAAGAGGTTAAATGAATGAAGCTCGACGATAGTACAAAAACATGTCTTACAATTTCAAAATGAGTCTTAAATCATTTTCAAACTAAGACATTTGCCATATTATATCAAACTTTATAACAAAACATTTTCCATACCAAATCTCTTACCAAAACATATATTTCATTTTCCGAAACAATCCATTTCCATAGGCAAAACAATTCGTTTAGCCATCACATCAATCTCTTTCAATAATAAAAATCATTATGCGATAGCATGTTCATTAACTCGTTAATTTCATCATTAAGATCTTTCAATGTCAAATTATGTGGTACATCCATGAAGTAATAATGAACCGTTTGTCAATCAATCCAAAAGCCATGGTATTGTTACCCCCAGGCAAAGGTCTAGCCATGGTACTATTACCCCCAGGCAAGGGCCTAGCCATGGTATTGTTACCCCTAAGCAAGGGCCTAGCCATGGTACTATTACCCCCAGGCAAGGGCCTAGCCATGGTATTGTTACCCCCAGGCAAGGGCCTATATTCAATGGATGCCACAGTATCGTTTCAAAACAGAACTTCATTTATTAGAGGACATAACATTTCAATAAGTCATGCTATCAATTATCAAATCATTTTAAGAATTCATTCAATCAATCACATATCCATGTTGATAGCAATATTATTTTTGAAAGTAAAGATACTTTGAACATATCGTTATAAGGTTATTACTCATAGCGGGTTAAGTCGATGTAACGCCTCGGATGCCCACCTATATAAATCACATAACAAAAACACAATAGAAGCACTATTCAATATTCATTTCATGTAATTCAACTCTCTTTATGTATTTCTAGTTTATTTCATGACTATGTGAGTCCAATTGGTGCCTAAGAATTCTTAGAATGTCATAAGGATGCAATTATGCATTTAAAAGAGTTAGTAAAAAATTGTTGAAAATAGGGTCCTCGAGCGGATTGTAAAATTTTGCAAAACTTCTAAGAGCTCGATTTTCACGCTCGAGCGAGACTTTCCTTGCTCGAGCAGACAAAGTGAATTCTGGAATGTCCAGAATTGTGTTCGAAGTTCAAGTTTGATATTCAAAGCCTCAAAACTTGTTTTTTTGGTATAAAACATGGAGAATCATTGTATAATTTAGTAAGCACTCCTAATTAGAAATCATTTATTCGAAATCATGCTCCAATTGTCCAAATTTAGATTTAACTCATTTTCTTTATATCAAACCCACATTTTTAAAATACGAATTAAACTTTCTAAACTCTTGAAATTTCATGATGTGTGTAAAAATAGAACCGAATTTTATTATTAATAACCAAAAATCAACTTAACTATGAGTTACACAAATCAATTTCTTAGAAATTCAACTTAACTCAATTTTTAACCAAAAACTTAATTTATAATCATGGATGTTCTAAAATGTGTTTAAATTTAATAAAACTTTTAAATTCAATTACATGCATGGATCAAACAAATTCATAATTTTCATAATAAGATCAAAACTTTTCTTACATTAGGATTAATTCCAAATTTCCATAAATTTGATTTTTCTAAAGTTTTTCCTTTCTCTCTTCAAAATATGAGATTGAATTAATCCAAATTCTTCAAAATCCATGATACATGTATAATTAGAGTATTAAACTTGTAAAATTTATTCATGCATGTAACAATGAAGCTTAATTTCATGCAAAATCACAACATCAAACCCAAAATAATTAATTTCCATAAATTGAACATAACTCCATTTCTTCATCATCTTGCTAATTCCTTTTTTAATTACATGAAATTGAACTCAATTATCTCTCAATTTCAGCTTTTAGGTAATTTATCTACAAAATTTGAACTTTAATTTCTTACCTAAAATCTTCAAATTGTTGAATCTCTTGGTCAAGCTTTGAGTTTCCTCCTTTGTCTTCAATTTCTTGAATTTCCTTCAAACCCATCAACACAAAGCTCTCTTTCTCTCTCTCTCTGTCTCTGTCTCTGTCTCTATCTCTCTCTTTTCTCTGATTTTTCCCAGCCGAACAAGTTGGTGAATAGCTTTAAGGCTCAAATACTTAGCTCACCCTCTTTCTGATTTCATTTATTCTATTCTTTATTATTATTATTATTATTATTATTATTATTATTATTATTATTAAAAATGGTGGGACACTTGTCCACCTTAAATTAATCCATGTGGTGATGTATGTTAGGATTAGTTATCACACTAATTGTACATTAGCTTAATTAACCATAACTAATTACAATTCCCACATAATTTAATTAGTCTAATTTGACTCCAATTAAGGCTCAATTATTTATATTTAATCTTTACCATTCTATGTCTGATTTTTAATCAAACTTCCAAAAAGGTCCAAATATTAAATTAGACTTATTTCCATTATCAATTTTGATTTCTCAAACTATTTAGGGCTTCAATTTCTAATCAGACTTCAAATTTTGGTCATTAAATTACTTATTCAAATTGGACGCCCTATAAATAAATTTAATTCGTAATAATCACAATTCTCAATCCTCATAATTTAATTAACTTAATTAACTCCAATTTGGACCTAATTAATCGAATCTCAATTTTACTAAACTAAAATGAATATTTAATTAAACTCCCAAATGGGTCCGTAATTAAAATTAAATTGATTCAACTTCTTAATTTCACTTCCTTAAGCCATTTGGATGGTTAAGTTCTAATTCCAAAAATAAATCTTTAATAGAATCATATACGAATTAGATTCTACAATCCTCATAAATCCCAAATTAAATTAGGATAACGACTAATTAAAATCCCAAATCTTCTTAATTAACCAAATATAAAATATTATACAAGGCAGGGTCGTCACACATGAGCTGTGTAAAACCTAAGCAGTTCACATGTATATAGTTAGTTTGTTTGGAAGATTAGTTAGTTTGTTAGATGGTTAGTTACTGATATGTGAATATATATATATATAATGTAATAGTTAGATCAATAATGATAGTCAAGATTCAGTTTCTCTTCATGGTATCAGAGCGGATAGAGCTCTAACAAGCATTCAACAATGGCGTTATCTTCAATGCCAACCTCTACTGTTCTTCGTCCAAATCTTTCTCTTCTTCTTTCCAATCTCAATTCTTTAGTCACAGTAAAACTTGACATAACAAATTATCTAATTTGAAAAAGTCAAGTTCAAAATCTGTTTTGAGCCATATAATTATTGGGATATCTTGATGGATCAGTTGATTGTCCTCTTCCTACAATTGTGAATGCACAGAACAATTCATTCTCCAATCTGGAATTCAATAAATGGAAGCTTATTGATGTACATCTTCTTAGCTGTTTAACTGTGACTTTGTCACCACCAATTTTTTTCTTCAGTCTTGCATCTGCAGCATAGTCGCAAAGTATGGATTGCTTTGGAGAAAAGGTTCACTACTTTATCACGATCACATATTCATCAACTCAAGAACAAACTTTAAACACTTTCAAAGAAATCTTAGACTATGGAGGTCTATCTGCAACAATTCAAGGAAATTTCAGATCAAATTGCATTGGTCACTTCACCTATAGATGATGAGGATCTTATTCTTCTTGTTTTGAATGCTTCCTAATGAATATAACTCCTTGAAAATAGCTATTCGAGCCCGATCTGATGGTGTAACCATGGAAAAAATGTCCTTTTTATTATGTTATGAAGCAATTCATATTGAGAAGATCAATTTACATGCTTATCCTAATGTTGCTTTCTCTGTCGTTCAAGGAGCTCCTTCTGAACATCAAACCCTAGCTTCGCCATATCAGTCATCTCCAAATTCACAACATCAACATTTTCAGTCAGGACATAATCGATCAAATTTTTCTAATTACAGAGGAAATCGTTCCAATTCTGGTGGCAGAGGTCGCTATACGAATTCTTCAAATTACAGAGGCCGTCGTGGAGATCTATTTTCAGGTTTTGCTTGTCAAATCTATGGCAAAAACAATCACACAGCTCTTGAGTGCCGCAATCGCATGAATCCAGCATATACACCCTCTTATGGATTTGCTTCTGGTTCACCGACTCAAGAAGGCTATTCTCTGCTCTCTCTCTCTCTATCCTAGTGGTCCTTCTCCATTCTCTACAGCTCCTCGAGCTTTTTCTACCACAGGTTTTGTTCATTCTTCTTCGTCTGAAGTTTCTCCTTGGTATCTTGATTTAGTTGCTACCACACACATCACTAATGACTTGCAACATATGCATCTGTATTAACCCTATCAAGGCCATGATCAGGTTGTGGTAGGCAATAGAGATTCTCTTCCTATTCAGCATAGTGGAGCTGGTATTCTTCCCACTCCTACCTTTTATTTTCAGTTCAACAATTTGCTTCATGTTCCTCAAATTTCTTCCAATCTTATTTCTGTTCATCAGCTCACTCAAGACAATAATTGTACAATCACTTTTGATAACAATTCCTTTGTTGTTTAGGACAAAACTTGAAGGCAGTGCTTTCAAGAGGTTTTCACTCTAATGGTCTTTATCAGTTTTCCTCTCCTCCGCAAGCTTAGTTTCTCAAAGCATCTCTTCTACTTTGTGGCACAAGAGATTAGGTCATCCCTTAAGTTCAATACTATAGCTAAGTTTATTCCTATTGTTTGTAATAAATATGATAATGGACTTTGTTCTCACTGTTGTATGGCTAAAAGTCATCGTTGGCCATTTACTTTGTCTTCTTCTATTGTCAACCAACCTCTTGCCCTCATCCATAGTGATGTTTGGGGCCCCTTTACTTAAGACCAATCTTAATATAGCTACTATGTTGTGTTTGTTGATGATTTCAGTGGCTTTACCTGGTTGCTTCCTTTAAACTACAAGAGTGACGTTTATACCAAATTTTTGGAATTCAAGGTGTTTGTGGAAAAACAATTCTCTACTTCTCTTAAGATTTTCCGATCCGATGGTGGTGATGAATATTCTCATCATAAATTTCAACAATTTTTCACAAAAAATGGTCTTGTTCATCAGTTTTCTTGCCCTCATACTCCATCCCAAAATGGATTGACTGAAAGAAAACATAAACATATCATTGAAACAACTATAACTCTCCTGCATCGCTTCTCTTTGCCTCTCAAGTTTTGGTTTGAGGCTATCTCTACTGTTGCATATCTCATTAATAGATTGCCTAGGTCTCATTCTCCTTGTCTTAGTCCCTTTCAGATTTTGTTTGGTACCTAATCTAACTATTCTTTTCTTAGAGTTTTTGGATGCTGTTGTTATCCCTGGCTTCGCCATATACTAACCACAAACTTAAGCCACGGTCTCTTCCTAGTGTGTTAATTGGTTATCATTCCTCCATAAAGGGGTATAGATGTTTAGATCCTGCTACTGGTAGAGTTAATATATCTAGGCATGTGATTTTTGATGAAACTCACTTTCCCTTTACTCAAGTCTCCTCTTCCGACTCCTCTTCTCCCTCTTTGTCTACACTTTACTCTTTCTTTTAGCCTTCTCCAACTGTTGCTTCTACTCCTTTATCTTATTTCTCTCCTTCTTCTGATTCGTCTTTTGCTTCTATTTTACATGTCTCCTCTACACTGTCTTCTTCTCCCTCTTCTTCATCTTCATCTCCTTCTTTGTCTACTCATCCAAGTATTCAATTAACTATACTTATTCTTCCTCATCCTCCTATTTCTTCCTCTACTACTCATTCTATGGTTACTGGGTCCAAGGATGCTTCTTCTCTGTGTTTCTCAGCTTTTATTTCTCCATCTCCAGTCTCCTCATTGGTTGGTAGCTATGCAAACAGAATTTCAAGTTTTACAAAATCAACATACCTGGATTCCTGTTCCTCCTTCTACTGCTAACCATGTTATTGGATGTGGGTTTTTAGGATCAAGAAACACTCTGATGGTACCATTGCTAGGTACAACGCCAGATTGGTAGCCAAAGGTTACTTGCAAGAAGAAGGTGTGGATTTTCATGATACTTTTTCTCCAGTTGCTAAACAGCCTACCGTTAGGATTTTATTCTGTTTGACTCTTCTTTTCAACTGGCCGATTAGGCAGTTAGATATCTCAAATGCCTTCTTGTGTGGTACTCTTAATGAAGATGTCTTTATGCACCAGCTACCTGGTTTTATCTGTTCTACTCAACCTTTCTTTGTTTGCAAATTGAACAAATCTCTTTATGGACTTCAACAAGCTCCTAGGGCTTGGTATACTGCTTTTGCTTCCTACTTTCTTTCCATAGGTTTTGTTCATAGTCAATGTGGTCATTCTTGGTTCATTCAAAAAACTTCTTCTACCATTACCTATCTTCTTGTCTATGTTAATGACATTTTACTCAATGGCAACTCTTCTTCTCATATTCAATCTCTCATTTCTCATATGAATTCAGTATTTCCTCTCAAGGATCTTGGCTTGGTTAATTACTTTCTAGGTATTGTTGTTCACCACACTTCTACTGGTCTATTTTTGTCCCAACATAAGTATGCCTCTGATATTTTGATCAAGGCAGGTCTTGCACAATATAAGCCTTACTCCTCCCCTTTGCCTCTTAAACCTCATTCTTCTTCTTCTGATTTTTCTTTGCCATTTCATAATCCCTCTCTCTATAGAAGTATTGTGGGAGCTCTTCAATATCTTACTCTTACCTGACCTAACCTTTCCATTGCTATTAACATTTCCTGTCAACATATGCACATACCTATTGTGGCTTATTTTGCAGTAGTCAAATGGATCCTTAGGTATCTTAAAGGAACTCTACACTACGGTCTTAATTTTAGTCCTGGTTCTATTGATATGCAAATCTTCTCTAATGTAGACTGGGCTGTGATCACTCTGATCGCAGATCTATTTATGGATTTTGTGTTTTTCTGGGGTCCAATCTTATTTCTTGGCAAGCCAAGAAACAGCCTACTATTGCTAGGTCTTCAACTGAGGTAGAATACAGATCATTAGCTTACACTGCAGCTGAAGCTTCCTGGGTTCAAATGCTTTTAGATGAGATGTTCTTGTCCTGTTCCACTATTCCTACTCTTTGGTGTGATAACCTTTTTTTCAT